TGTCGACTTTAAGTTCCATTTTTGGACTCAAAGCACCACTGTGTAGAAATTCACACCTTTGTGCACTTCAGAATCTTTATTTCCTTCCGTCTGAGGACTGTATAACTACACACTCTAAGTACAATCTTGAACTATTGACGTAAAAAATCTTCCTGAACATTCTTACTTTCTCTCACATTCAACAATCAACATCTGGAATATTCTCTCTCTACCCTTGCGAACTGAATTCCCAGTGAACTTGGAATTCCTAGGAATTCCTAGGAATTCCAAAAATTTCCAAGACATGCAAATTAGAGCAAATGCAAAACCTTGGAATTATTTGGAATATCTGGGAATTGTAAAGATGCTACTTAGAATTACTGGGAATTTCTAGGAATTGTTGGGAATTTCTGAGAATTTCTGAGAATGCTCAATCTGAAGGCTTCTGAGCTTGAAGAGAGGACTTGGAATTCTTTGGAATCTATGAGAATCAGAATTTTATGTCACTGACAGAGAGCAATTACCTAAGAAACTTAACAGAACAGCCTGGTACAGTTACTGCTGAAGTCTTAATATAACTTTACTAAGTATATTACCCCAAACATAACCCAGTTAAATGCCTAAAACAAACCAATACCAAAAGAACTAAAAGTATAACCAATGTAATTCAAGAGTATGTTATTATACTATGATGACCAACTCGAACTGTGAACAATACATGTAGGCACTAACTGTTAGTGCAATATTTTGACATCAATAGTTGTGGGGTATACATGTAGTACAAGCTGTAATAAAATTAAATTGTATTCATTTTAACAACTTCAACATCTGAGTGAAACGTGAATTTTTCAAGTGTAATTATGTCCCTTGTTGTGTTGGGATTTTACTGTTTAAACTACACTGTACTCCATCCAAATATTTATATGCTTGTAATGTATCCAATTGCTTTAGCCACACACTCCATTGAAATTTGGCAGGCGTACTAGGCATGGTTGGTCAGAGTTCCCTTCCAAAAAGAACACCTTTTCTTTAATTTCAGCAACTTCTGCCAGTTGAAGTTCAGTGTCATTGCTATAAGATAATATTATACATGACATTAGACAACCCTTGATCATGAGTAATAAAATAATATAATATAAATACACAAAGGATTTTTTAATACAGTGAATAGTGCCCCAATGTCATAAAGCAATGATCAAAAGCATATTACATAAGAATAAAAATAAAACATAAAAATACCACATTTCATCAATAATATTAAAAATCCCATCTGAATAAAAGTTAAAAATCACAATTTTAAATACTACCTATCTACTAATTAAAAACTGATTCATGATGGAGAAAAAGTAAGCCTCAAATATTAAGTTTTCAACAAACACTTGAATATACTAAATTCATCCTCTTTCTGTCTGTTGGTAATAATTTGTTCCACGGTTTATATATTGTAGTAATCGGGTAAGACGAAGGAAGACAAGTACAGTGTACACGCGTTCAGTCTAAGATGTAATTTACTGTAATCTCATTCTTGGATGATCATGTTACATTGGTAGATTATTAAATCACGTGTATCAATGATGTAATCGCTACANCATGTCCAGACACCCACTGCCGGAGACAGGGAATGACCGTCTTGAGAAATATGTCATCGCCACTGTCCAATCAGAGCACGCTGTAGTTCTGGACAGAATCAAAGAAGAAACCGCAAAAGACAAACAGCTTACAAAGCTCGCTGCGGCCATGCAAACAGGCAAATGGACCAAGACTGAACGCGTGTACACTGTACTTGTCTTCCTTCGTCTTACCCGATCACTACATATATTATGTGCAAGCTGGTATCCTTTTTTTTTTCAGTTGGGTGTCCAACTGAAATATTTGTTTATTTTTAATAAAGGTGAGCATAGCCTTAAACTTTTTTATTGCTATTAGTGCTTGCGTGACTCAAACAAATAATAAGTATTGAGGTTAATGGAGTACCTTTGAGACTTCATTCATAGAATGTGACAACCAGCATCTTCAAAGAAGAATGGGTTGTCCAGGTTGGGCTCTATTACTTTATAAACCACAAGTATTCTTCCTGACATCTTGTTCCAAATGAAGAAATGAATGTCTCCCACTATCCCATTTGACAGCAAGACCACAGAGGCATTTCTCTTGATCATCCGAGTGTATTCCCGCCCGAAAAAAACCTGCCCATTCCTCACAATCCTCAAGACTTTGTAGTTGTCAGGTCCACACTTGCAGAAGACCTCATTAACCAAATGTACTGGAAGCCCTGCCAGCTATTTTGCTCCTCCAGCAACCTGACAGTCCTTAGCATCTTTAAGGTTCTTCAACCTGTAAACAAATTAATTAATCATGCCTTAAAGAGTTAAAAAGTAAATTAAGCCATAAACTACCTTACTGTCAAGCAGTCACCAGGGAATAATGAAGATTTAATTGGTTTAACAGTCAGTTTTCAGCTACAGTATATTCCAGAGATGCAGAGGCCTAACCGGTTAGCATTCTGAGAGACTGTCAAATGAGTTATTTGACAATACATGATTTCACATTGCCTGTTTTCACCAATTAGTACATTCCTATACTGACATGCATCATGGAGTCCTGTCATAAGTTGGCAAGTAGCCTGTGATGGACTAGCTTCCCATCCAGCTGGGGGAGACAAACAATAATTAAGTCCCTTCATTGTTGCAGAAATGGAAGTTAAGAACCAAACTGCTAAGCTACAATGGCTTATGTAGACTTTACTTCAGTATAGAGATCATTATTAAATGCTTCTGCTAGTAAAATATTATATCATTATTTCTAATTGCTTGTTTAAAAACTGGAAAGCAATACAATTAAAACACAATCATGGTTGATATACCCTCTTTTTGTGATCAACATTCTTGTTATGAACTCCTTGGTTGCTCCAGCTGTGATTAGCTCAACGTCACTCATAAGACGGCTCTGGGCATGCAACATCCAAATCGACTGAGATTATACAAAATATAGTGTCAGTCAATAATTTAGAAAAAAAGTCACTCAATATCAGGGACATTTAATGATGTTCACATGTACAGGGAAGTACATGTAGTGGCCTTGGACATAATCTCAATTTAATATCTGATTTAAACCATGATATTTCATAGGAATTATGAGCACATGCTTTGCACTTTAGCATTTGTTAGCTGAGACATAGATGAAGCCTATCATAATAAGGAAGATGGAACTGAAATGCACTTCATACCATAGAGAGCCTGAAAGTCCTTGTAGAATCTGTCTAGTAGATCTCTTGCTCGCTTCAACTGGCTTGGAGTGATTTCACTACCAAGAAGTATATATATTGCTTCTGAGAATCGAGCAAAATGTTGGAGGTATTTATCTGGCAGATAACCAACAAACATGGCAAAGCATAATAAAGAAGCCACGACTGCAACTCAGAGGCTAGAAAAACAAAACATGACAAGTCATATATTTTTTGTAAAAGGCATTGCGTGAATACCAGTCAATAATGCAATGTTTTCATGTCGTATACCATGGAACATACCATGACTCAGTTGTATTTTCTTGGTATACGCACAAGTTAGTGTGTATACCAAGAAAATACAAATGACAAGTGGGATATTCTACATGTATGGTATAGGTCCACAAGAGAGCATTGCATTTTGAACTATTTTATGGCATGCTATAGAAAAGAAAGGGGGCCAATACAATCAATGCAACATATGCTCATCACACAATGGGAAGGTTGGGTGTAATACCATCGAATAGACAACAGCTTTCCTGTATTCTGATTGGCTGTATTTCCTATCGCAGGGTATAAAAGTTAATACTGTGGCTTTATAACTTCTACAAAATAATATCAAAAACATTTTCAACGTCTGTTGATTGTAATTACACCCTTTAAAGTTCTTGAAATGTTTCTCCAGGTCTCTCTGAAGTCTGGCTAATACATCTGGGGGTCGCATCTGAAGTATGCGTTTGTTAATCTTTTTTATCTACACGTGCATAAAAAGAACGTACTTAAAATAAAGTCTTGACATTTCTTTTGACAAAATATTGACTGTGACCAGAAGTCACTTGTGGGATATTTTAAAAAACATTCAAAAGCATTAAATTTCTAGTATAGAAAGCTAAGAATTAATTCTTTTTATTTGCTAATCAAATCATACCTGGCCACCAATAAAAAAGTCCCTCTTATGGTTGGTTGAAGAAAACCATTTATATAGAAGAGTCTTTGTTATACCCAACAAACATCCATGCATGTAGTCAGGAACCATCCCAAGAACAATGTCAAACCAGGGCATTAGGGCCAAGCAGGTGACATCAAACAATCCTGCAACCTACACGTAACAAATTGAACTCAATTAGCCAGGTGAATGGCCGCCATGAACAACATTTAAATTTTATGTAAATTTACACGTAACATCACATGTATTTTTTAAAAAGTACTCACAATATGTACACGTACATCTAACATTCACGGCTAAATGCAAAACAAGAGCAAAGTGCATGCTGGAATACTTGTAAAATATACTACTGTCATAGTAAGAAAAAAAGACTTGTAAATAGAAACAGCTTGCTAGCATGTAAACTTGTTTTTCTTTGGTACCATTAAGCTTGAGATGAAAATAATGGTTTAAGTAAATTAATTTTCATGAATGGCTAAAACATAATTTGCTCTATGCACCAATCCATACAAGATTCCAAACTAAATCACCTTTTTTTTGCTTTGATTTGCTTTAACAGCATTTTCAAGAAATGTTGTCATAGTCCTGTTGGGAGCCCTCTCAGTTGGAGACCTGTATGGGTAACATCGGGTATGCCCTTTTCCTTGAGCAGCTACAAATCCACTTTCCTCACATGTCAGACAACCATCCTCTCCATTATGTTGAGTCATATATAAAAGGTATGACTTCCCTTGTAAATCAGTTGAGCCAAGCAGTACAGCAGCTTTGACACCTACTCCTAAAATGGCTACTCCTAAAATGAAAAGTGAAAAATATACCCTGGGTGAATAAGTGAATAAAAATTTACTGTAGTGGACTTTTATCACTATTGAGCAGTACATGCAAAATTAACATAAAATTATTTACATAACATTAACATATTTTATTTACGCTTGATGACCTGAAGCTTGTTAGGCTCCGGGCTTAAGGTGATTCCCTAGTAAAAAAACCTGCCACAGATTTCAGATGAAACTTGGTATGCTGTTGTTACAGGACAAGGAGATATTAACACATTGTAAAAAGAGGGGGTCACCATGCTTGTTTTCACGTCACAATGCTGACAAATATGGTTATTTAGGTGACTTTTGGTAATCTCCCTCTGTAGTATTTATTTCATTTGCCAAAAAAGTAGCCACAGATTTCTGCTAATTTTCTCAGTTATCGAGGATATTGTTCTCATTGAAATTATGAAATAAAAAGTGGGGGTCACCGTGCTCGTTTAAGAGAAAAGAGCATTTATTTCACTATCAAGCTTAGTTTAAGGGAAATCTCTTACATTTTGTACGCGCACAGGCTCATGTGTGCACGCTAATGACACGAAAATCATGCGCAATGCAATACTGAGGAATCACCTTAAGTAGCTACTCGTCAAGTTTAAATTACAAAAATACAGTGTAGATTCAACTATAACAATGAGAGCACTTGAATTAACACTTAAGTTGCCATAGGATGGTTTTAATACTGTTTGAAGGCATGTCTCAAACACCCACCTTCCTTATACAGTTTGTTCATTTGAGTGGCAAAAGGCTCAAAGAATGCATTAAACGGGGGTTTTCCCTTCCCCTGCCAAATACCCCAGAGCATCATATTTGTCTTTGAAAACCTATAATGTAAAAAAGTTAAATTAAATAAGTAAAAAGAAACATTTCTGTTTTAGTTCTTACAACCAACAATAATTTGTTCATTTAATAGTCTTCTGATGAGGCTCCAGTTGAATATAGTTTTAGGCACCTCAGTGTGTAAATGGTAGAATAATTATGTTTACAGGAAATGATAGATTTCAATAATTTGTTTGTACCTGTCTGGAGATGGAAGTTCATTGATAGCTAAAAACACAGGCCAAAGGGATACACTTGAGGAGGAATATAAAGGGGCACCATCTGTGTTGAAGATGAAACTTATGTTGGATATATCACTCAGGAACTGTCCAGGTCCACATAATCTTGTATAATATTTCCCATCAATAATGTCTGTGATTATTTCCTTTCCACGTTGCTCACTTCTCGCCTGAATAGTTTGCCATATTCCTTCTCCTTCCCAAAAAAAAAAAAAAAATTGATATTTGCTTAGTTACCAAGTTGTGAATCATAAGTCTTTCAATTTTTTTAAATTTGTCGTATCTATCTATCTGTCTGTCTGTCTATCTATCTATATCTATTTTACTTTGATACATAATTTATTCAATTGAATTTTCAAGTTCTGAATCATATATACAATTGCTTGGTTTTTTTTAATGATTTAGTAGTTTACTGACTAAATAAAATTATTTTACATGCAGAATTCATTCATGTACAGGTATAGCAAAGTTTATAGCTTTATAGTTACTAGTAAACCATTAACCTCCCTGCTGCGAAATAAATTATTCCAACAGTTATTTTGATCTTACAGAGGCAATGCCATAAAAATAAATACCTCGTTCACTCAGATATTGCCTGTTAATAATTGTAAAACAATTCAGTTTCAAGACTGCAGAGGCTCTACTTACGTTCTAACAAACACTTCAGTTGACTGAAGATGTCGACAGTTACAAAACTATTTTTGTGAAGCTTCTTCCCTTGCTCATGGATACTTCCCTTATACCTCAGACTGCAAGAAAAAATTTAATTTTCTCAGTTAAGCGAATTGTACCAAAATTCAGCTCAAAATCCATGAAATTATGCAATGTCAAGCCGGTTAATTGAAATTTATGAGTAATTGTACCTTTTTTGTATGTTTCAGTACTATATCAGGTGAGTTTTGTCGAGCCATGGTTCGTATTTTGGAGAAATGCAGTGGAGCCAAAATACTCATGGCAAGACAAAACAATTGTGATAAGCCGCCAAAGCGTCGTAACAATAAGGTACGATTAGTTATTTACCACACCCGAATACAGCCCAAAATCCATGGTATCATGCAATATCAGGTCGGTGAAGATTAGTTGTGAATTTGGGTAGAGTTAAAAATTCCTGCATGGATAATGGTTAATGTCAAGCACCACAATAATAATTTATTGAGCAGATGCATTTCAAATTATACATGCCCACAAAGTGCTGATATGTACATACCCATTGCAGCCTGTCGTTGAACAGACCACTTGATCCTCCACGTTTGTTGGAAACAGACCAAGACAATTTTCACAAATGTCATAGGTGAAAACAGTACAATTTCCACACACTTCCTGCACCTTTGAGTAAGTTAAAGATTGCAATAGCTCGTTTGCTGGGCAAAGCAATTTCAACAAATCAATGATATCTTTTGCAGCCTCTGTCGTGATGCAGTGTCTTGCAATTAAAGAAAGAATGGACATGCATGCTTCTTCTTGGGCTGAAAATGATTTTCGAATCGATTCAATCTTGGCAATCGGTATCTGAGTCCCCAGACTCTAAGAAAAACCCAGAAGTTACTGAATCAGAGTCGCTGTCGGACGAAATTTCACCACACTCGCTGTCAGAGTCTCCTGAACCACATGTAAATGTTTCACAAGAAGGCAGCATTTCGGCTTCATTTTCATTTACAGTGCTCGTGCTCTGGATTTTCTCCAAGCTGGTTTGGGACTCCGCATATCCGTTCTCTATTTCCTGCAATGTGCCTTCATATTCACATGAAGTCGAATGATCTTGTTCCCTTTCTATTTCTTGTTGAGCAAAAAAGTAAGACTGAAGGGTCAACGAAGAAGATGAGTTGGACTGTGAAGACATGTTTGAATTTTTCGTGAGGTCGTATTTGGTTGACTTTGGTACTGGAACACCGGGATCATCAAGGTATTTCTTATACTTTCGTTTGCTATATTCCGCTTTTAGAGAACAAAGAGATCACATAAAGACTTAATGATATAGTTTTGAAACCTCTTGAATGCAAAAACGATTCGAAAATGTGGATCAATTTCTTACCTTTGCCGTGGACAGAGCTTAAGTGACTTTCGATCCTTTGTTTCCTCGACAACGATCGGCAACAAATCGAACATTTAAAATATGTTCCATTCTCGTGATTAATCTCTGTATAGAGTGGTTTTCCCACAAAATTTCCCACACAACTTGGATCCATCATCTAGACCATGTCACATGGATCGCCTGAGGGCGCTTCGCTATTGATTTCTTGATACTGCAATCGGTTAGTCCAGCGGGTTCTCTCATGTGAACCAATCACAGGAGCGCTCACGAAGCATGATTTCATGTGACTAATTGCCGCCTTTTTTTCAATCTTCTCGGTTGATCGCTTGTGCGTGGAATATACACGATTGTACTTAACTTCCTTTCTTCGATCTGCAATTAACTTAAGATGGTTTTCATTGTTGTTCAATGGGTGAACGAAAATAGCGTAAGTGTCGTTCATGAAAAGAAAGTTGTTGGCGAGAACGTCGAACTTAGAGAAGGCAGCACGGTAGATGTATCGGTGGGTATTAGTAAGGGAAGGATTGCTATTTACAAGGCGGAGATTTTGAAAGTATGCAGTGAGTGCAGTACCTTAAACTCTTTAATGGTTGAGGTTTTAAAATATATTTGTCCAGTCACTGAAACTCAAAACATTGAAAGCATCACATGCACGTATGCGGCGGTAAATTAGGCCAACGGTGAGAAATCAGAGCTAATAGACTTTTTGGTTAATTCATTGCACGCAGCACAAGTCAGTTTAGCCTTTCTCCGTTATTAAGTGAAAACAATTTTGTTTCAGTCGGAAGATGAATTACCTTTTTTAATCTCCTCTTTATACTCCGGATCGAATTTTCTTCAACTTAAAGCAAGCAAACCGAGATGATTTTTATACCAGTACGTTTAATTGAGAGTGATCATTAGATGGCCGTTAATCGGCTCACAGACCAAAGTCCACATTCCAAAAAAATCTAAGCGGCCTAATTCAAAACAGGGCAACTGATGGCGGGAGTTTCAAAGCGAACTGAGAAATTTTATTCCCCTAAAGTTACTTAACTCTCCATGCTGCATTTTCGTTCTTTGAAAAGGGCCAGGTCAGGTTCAAGTCTTCTTATCTCTATTATTAGGAACAAAGGAAAAGGCTCTGGAGTTTGAGGCAAGTTTGGTTCAGAAAGTTGCTGACGCTCACAGTGATGTCAACGGTAAAGTTTTAATTATTGATGTTTATAGACTCACTTGTTTTAAAAAATGAAATGATGTAACATACAACTACATTTATAATCAGAAGCAATTTTGTTATATTTCTCCCAGATGATACAAGCAGTAAAAGGAAACGGAACCCATCCCAGAAAGTGAGGGAAAATGTACGGGACCAAGGTAAAAAAAGAGAAATATAGAATGCAAATCAATTTCACAAAAATACTGTTTCGATTCAATCAAAGTGCATTTCAAAATATCTCTCATAAATTATTTCAGTAAAGTCATTCAATTGAAAATATGAAATAAAACCTAAAACCACTTGAACAATAAACGGTGTTCAGTTGGGTTTGACTGCTGCATGTTTGATTGGCATTTACTGTATTACAAGTTCTTTTATTTTTGTTATCCTTAATTGTATTAAAAGCTAACCAATTGGCTTGTTTCAATTGACATAATATAGATGATAATGAGGACAGAGAGAGAGCAGAGACTTCCAGAGATCAAGGGAAGGGTGATAAAGTAAGTTTTTTCCCATTTTTATTTCTCATGCTGTTGTTCTTACTAATTATATTAAATAAATAAGTGCTTTGGTTTAGATTTCATTTTACAGTGTGGTGTAATGTACTGGATTTTAATCACCATTGATGAAATAATATTATGTGCACACTTTCGTGAGTTTTGTTCTTATTTGCAAAAGAGTTACAAAGTTGTATGATTGATATGCAATTAATGGGATTTATTTTTCAGCTGATCAGCAACCCCCCAAGAAGAGAAAAACACATGACAAGAAAGCGAAAGGTAATACTATCCTCAATTTCATATTGCAATCCACAGTCACAGTGATCAACTGATCAGTACTCGTGCAACTCTTTTCACACTCACATTTGTGAGTGGGTGAGTGCTAATTTTCAACACTGTAGGTGCACAACTTTTTTAGCCACCTTTGACCGTGTTTTTTTTTTTTCTCAAATTTTATTTCTGTAGGTGATAACGAAGACAAGGAAAATGAGCTGGAAAGGAAAAAGGTAATTAAGTGGGCATTTCATGCTGCTGATTAAGACTGTCGTTACCTCTCAGTGCCTACTTTTATTGGTATTTACGCTTAATTTGAAATGTGCAGTCAATTTCCCTTGTTAACCCAATTGAGAACCTTTTATCACACACTCCATCACTGCCCATCATGCCCACTGGCACACAGGGCAGCAACAAAGGAACTCCACAGCTGTCTGTCCTCAGCCACCTTTTGAATGAAGCTCCAGCTGTGGCCCAAGCCCCTCATCTTTGTCTCAACAAAAAATTGCCATGTATTATTGGGTGAACTTTTTCCACCAGCATATATTTTGCATGTATCATGTACCCAAATTGTGCACTTTTTAAACCAGAATATATTTTGCATATAGTATCTGTGTAATGACTAATATGAACTACTTTTCATTAAAGAAAATTCCACTCTTTTCTTTTCAAAGTTGCAACAAGCTAAACAGCTTTCCTTGAAGCTAAACATGTCACCCAATCGAACTCAGTCCAACTAAATCGACCTCAATTCATAGATTGAGTTCGGCAATCCAACCAAATCCAACTCACACAAAAGTAATTGGACAAGCGAACTAAATCGAACATTTGATTTCTGAACTCTTGATTTTTTTGCACAACTGGTGTTGAAAATCAATTCATCAGTTTAACAAGTGTTTTTCGTCTTTTCGAGACCATATAACATAATCTTTGTTCAAGCAAATTTATCTACCGAACACACTCTAACGCAATCCATTGGATTGTGCTTGATCAAGTTCGGCTGCTGAGCCCAACTGAGTTCAATTTCCGAACGTTCGCTATGCCAGGCGTGTTCACACTATTTGACATCAGTACAACGGACAGAAGAGATATTTTTCTCTTTGTGCATGAACTATGGCCTTTGAATTCAGATTTTTAAATCTGGTATAATCTATACCATTGGTTTATACTAACAGCATCGAGGTTTACCAGGTGACCTTCCAAAAATGCCCCCAGTTCTTCCAAAAAAAGACGCGACATCATCATCAGAGAAAGCAAGCTGTCAAAAGAATCTTTTTACCAGCATCAGTGAAAGATACAGTTTTGGACCTCCGTTAATGACATATATTTGTTGACGAAATATTATCATCTGACCATTCGCTGAGCGTGCCGATTCAAATACAAAGTCTCATGGTCTTCTTTTCCTTTGATGACAGATATGGTATGATTCCCTGTCAGGGTTTCAATTTTGTAATACATCTACATTAGCCTTGCATTGTTGTTATTGCCCTGGGTTAAATAAAGTCGATTTATTGATTGATTTATTGATTGATTTATTGATTGATTTATTGATTGATTGATTGATTTAGAAATATTGAATCGATCTACCTGCACTAGACAAACGATTATTGTGGCCATCCTCAACCAGGGCAAATAAACAAACGAAAAAACTGCTGGTGTGGGATATCTTTGTTCCGTCTCCAGAGATTTTGACTTTGACTTTACTCAAATCTCCCTTGTTGGCCATCCACACACAAAAAAAGAAAATTATTTGTACGTCATAATAATCATCACTGATTATAAATTGAAACCTTTGAATTATGGGTACATGTAGTTATTCGGTTTGTTCCTCTACCCCTGACCTGTTCACATGGCATTGCTGCAGTATTACGTTTTATAAATTGATTAATGTTACTTACACACTTGCGAATTTCATTTTCCAGGAGGACTCGAAATGGCAGTTCTGCACCCTGTGCTGGACCTGGTGTTCTCTTTGCATCCCACTGTCTATGTAGCACATTTGCAAAGTTTTGGACCACATGGGCTCGGGGAAGTGATTCGTCTACTTGGCAAAGCTCATGGTACCCTTCTAGTATTACTGAAAATTTGTCAAGAATGTACAAGATGGACTTCACTTTTTCCATTTCTTCTTCCAGAACACTCTTGTATGGCTCCTGAGGATTACCTAAAAGATAGTATCAATAATAGTGTTGACCATTTATAATGGTATTTTATCAGCTTCTAGAGTCTAATTTTTACTTGAAAAAAAATTAATTAATTAATTAAAACTTGTAATTAGCATTAATGTTTTGAACAATATAGCCAAGCTGTAATTTTAGATAGAGAAAAAAAAGTGATCATACATGTATTTTAATGAATCAGTGTAATTTCTGTTGGCGAGGAAATTTGTAAGTCTTGTTACATTTCCTTTACAGTCCGGGAAAGTAAAGATTTTTCTGTATGGATAGTTACCTTGGGAATTACCACTGTTCAGTTGTAAGGTTATGCTTTCTCGGGCCTTTGTTTCCAGCACCAGGGAACTTGGGACCATTCCATAAGTTTCAGCAAACCAGAAAGCGCTCCTTGCTTTATCCCTGTACAAGATACACTGTCTCACTTTGCTTTGTTGTCATAATTTGTTGCTTTATTTTCGTTACAAATAAGTTATCAACAGTTTAAGAGAGTGTCTCTGTAAGAGCGGTCCGGTTGATTTTGCTTGAGACACAGATTTAGCTCATTTCTTGTGTGTTGTAAGACATCCATGTACCTATACTAAAACCACAATCCGTTTGATCGGATCTCTTTATTTTTCAGAGTTTTAAGGAAATTAAATTTCA